TATACATATAAAGTACTTTTAACTCATGCTAACACCCTGACACTTGGTAATGTCAACTGGAAATCTAGGATTTAACATTAGCAGACGGTACAAGCTTTTTTAAAATTCCACTCGCTATTCAGTTCATGCTTCCTTGAACATTACAGCTAGAACACAATCTAGTCTGCCTGAATTCTCCTATTTGAATGCTGAAAAATCGCAGAGAAAGTGTTCCTGCCACTTGTCGCTGTGACAAGGGGACATAACAAGAATCTCAAAGACTTCATTACAATCTACGTAGCCCTTGACTGGTGTAATTCTCCCTGGCCGGTCGTGTTGGAAAAGTTCGGATTATACTGTCATTTGCACGTTTTGTGTCGTGTATTTTAACTGTTTAGTTTCGTCACTGGGGGTTCGTAAAATGGGGGGGGGGGGGGGGGTGAAAGGAGGGGCGAATAGGGTCTGGAATACGGACTTCGATGGTGTCATGACAGGTAGAAGATTTTAGGTTAGGTTAGTTGCGTATCCTTTACAGGACGTTGCAGAACCAACCTCATCAGCCCTGGCTGTTGTGTGGTTTCGCTAGGCAAATTTACGTCCAGTAGTTTGCCATTGCTTACTGGACTGTCGGCTTCCTGATACCACGCAAGGCGTATGGCCCGCAGCTGCGATCGAACCCGGTACCCCGACATTACGAAGCGTTCGCATCGACTTAGCCACAGAGCCGACGGTAGAAGAATAGCATCCAGATAAAAGATAATTTTGCCAGCGTCCGTGGCGTAGGCGTTGCGAGTCCAACTCGTAATTTCAACGTACCGCGATCGAAACCCACTGCTGGCTGCAGGGATTTTTATCTTCGTATGGGACGTTGCAGATCAATCCAGCCTAAAATGGGTACCAGTATGTATGTCCTGGGGAAGTAAAGACTGCCGGCGTAATGGTGACCCACCAAGTGCCGATTGGTCTGTAAAAATATGGAGTGCTCTTCGAATATGCCCGATGCGCCCAATGCGTGAAAATAGATCAATCCGTGTTTTTTTTTTTTTTTTTTACATTAAAGGATAATTTTTGTGTTAAAAATACACCAGAGTGCTACACTTTTCCATGCTTAGTTAGGAGAAGAGCTTTCAATAACTCTTAGAAACCTTGTCCCCATGTGGGACGCAATTGTTTTGTTATTTTAAAGCCACACACCTGCTATGGTCGGGGGTCCTAATATAGCCTAACGGTTGAACGGAGTTTCTGGGACCTGTCCCGGGGTGATCCTTATCCGAATGGTAGCACTTTGTGTCACCGAGTGTTTATCAATCCGTCTAATGTCCTGGTGGGGTTGAACTCAGTCATTTAAGTGCTTTTGAGATCTTCCCAAACACTTTAGAGTGGACGGCTACAGTGCTGTTGTTGTTGTTGTTGTTATTGATCCAGCGGCGCATGAGCTTTCGCCCTTTGGCCCAATGCCATGAAGTGGAAATTGCATGTTTTCACAAGCTGTTCTTTTCCTGAGTACAAGGTGTTCCACCTGTCTGGTCTCGGAGGGAGTAGTATTCTTCTAGTCTCGCTGAGTTCTGGGCACTCAAAGGAATGATGGTCAACAGTACGGCTGCAGTGAAAATGTGTGTCTCGCGAACATTATACATGTCTTAGTCACTAGTGTTATTCAGTTTGGTTTATTGTTACTAATACATCCTTAGATGAAATAACATGTATAACAAAGTGTGAACGAGGAATTAGGTGTGGATCCGGCAAGGAAAGACGTATAAGAGAAAGAGAACGACATGTGTATAATCAGTGTGCTACAGGAACAGTTAGTATCTACACCTTAAGATATTTGCTGCTGGAGACGGAGCACTTATTGGTATGCCCGGTGTGCTATGATGAATATTCTTAAATCAGTTACCAATCAATCAAAAAACCACTTATCTTGATATTAATTCACATTTAAAATAAAAATGAACGGCTTTTATAAGTGAATGCTGTGTCTATGTAGTTTTTTTAAACTAATTATGAAAGTCCGTACCACTTATCGAAGTCGATAGGAGACTCGCTTTCACATCCAGCTGCCACTCACTGCAGCCCAGGGCCGGTGTTCGAAGCCGGACTGTTCCCGGGGTTCACCCAGCCTCTATGAAATGGGTACCAGAGTTAACACTCTGGGGTAAATGGAGAAACGTCGCTGTAGCTACAGAGTTACGTGCGGACGGCGACACAGGCAGACAGACTGTTATCAGCTGTCCGTACTGGTGACAGGGCACTTATGGTTTATAACCGTGTGCAATAACACTGGTTCACATCTCCGACTTTACCTTTTACCTTGAGCAGACCGAATTATCGAATCAGGAAATTATGTGTACATAAACAGCGTGTAACGAAGATGAAAAGGTTGGAAAGCTCTGGGTAAGAGGAGCAGATACCATGACTTCTCAGATAAGAACACTAAATTACACTCCCTATACCCACAGAATTACACCCCAAACCTACCCGGTATTGCTTTTTCTGGTGCCTCAATTATAACTTTTTTGAAGGTGGAACAGGGTATCTGGAGTTTGTCCTGCATTCTGGCTATGCAGGATGAGATTATTAAAGTCTCAAAAAAGGAGTTGGGGTGGGGGGGGGGGGGGGTGGGGAGGATAAAACATTCAAAAACAGTCTAGAGGAGAAGCAAGCAGACAGACAGGCAGGCAGAGGGAAAAAAGAACGAACGACGAACGAAGGAACTTTATTTTCAAAGGGTCACAAATAAGCACGCAAGCGCATCTTACATTCGGCCCTTTCAAACACCCATCTTTCACACAGCAGTTGTATTTTCTTAATAAAGTATGTTATGTCTTTGTAATAATATGAATATTAGGAATATCAAGTCAAAAAAAAAAAAAAAAAAATGAGTGGTAAAATGAATGCGCACACTCACGCGCGCACAAACACATTCAAATACACACTCTAACCCATTCCCTCACTTGAGAGAGAGAGAGAGAGAGAGAGAGAGAGAGAGAGAGAGAGAGAGAGAGAGAGAGAGAGAGAGAGAGAGAGAGAGAGAGAGAGAGAGAGACGCATTAAAGAGAAAAAACCGGACAGTATACTAAATAAGATAACGTTGTCGCCCGGCTCGCTAGCGTAGTTGTTTTAACCTGACATCACGGTGACCGGGTGAGGAACTCCTTGTGGTCCGGGTTCATGCTAGGGGGGTAAGGAAGAAAAGCCACATTCTTCCACATTTACGGTATTTATCATAGAATCAAGGCTGAAGGTTTGCGATATCCATAGTATCGAACAAAAGGGTTAACAACTCGTGGTTTCTAGATACTTAAAAAAACATTGTCTGTTCCAGATATGATTGTGCTCTTCAGACATTTACACTAACAGATGCGCCCGCGCAGACACCAACTTGCGCGCGTGCGCGCGCACACACACACAAACACACACACATACATAGGGTGTTTGTAGAGTCTAACTACACTTTGTGTGTGCAACAAATGTGAACAACGAAGTGCAGGACGTCTATAAAATAAACGTGCCCCACAGTTAATAGTCTGCTGAGGTAATTCTTTGCACTCAAAACAAAATGGTGTTATCGACAGAAGCAATCAGAATTACCATTCAAGAAATAACAACAGAGATGTTGCAATAGCTATTTCACTATATGAAGAGACGTGTCACAGTTATGTGGTAGACATTTTCAAGACCGGTTATAATGAATGTTTCAGTACTTTCCAGCTACACCAAAACAGCGTTAGACAGCAGCGACTATTGTAAAGTAAAATGTAAAGTACCCTTTTTCCACGCCTTTCAGGCTTATTGGGTATATAGCGTTAGACCTATATTTTATAGACCAAACGGCACTTGGTGGGTAATGTAGTCAGCCTCACGCCGGCCGTCCTTAATTCCTAGGACTTTACCTGGTACCCACCCAAGGCTAAGTCGACCTGGGAGCCAAAGTTATTATGAAAAAAAAAAATCCGGCCCTCGTCAGAAACCGAACCCACGACCTTCCGACCCGCAGGCTAGCGTCTAACCGCTAGACGACGGCGGCTTCCAGTAGCTATTGTAACTAATTTACTGACTTTTTGAAGCACACTTGTGTTTGTGTGATGACTTCATGTTCTTGGGGTTTTTAAATGTGTTCTTCTTCCCGTTCACAGGCTGTAAACTCAGATGTGTGCTACAAACAAAGTGTAGTAAGATTTTATGAACACCCTGTAGAAAGAGAAAGAATTACAGAGAAGGAAGAGAGAGAATGAGAGAGAGAGAGAGAGAGAGAGAGAGAGAGAGAGAGAGAGAGAGAGAGAGAGAGAGAGAGAGAGAGAGAGAGAGAGTGAGTGAGAGACAGAGAGAGAGAGAGAGAGAGTAAGGTTGGATTGGGGGAGGGGGAAGTTTATGCACTGTAGGAATAAAGGAAAGGATAAGAAGAGACAGAAAAACCCATATGAATAATTCAGCTGTAGCTAAGCGGAAATGCGCAGATGAAGTCGTTGTCTCCATGTTGTAACGTGGCTCGTTCTAACGTTATCTGAAAATTGTAACACACAATGAATAGGGAACTCTATCTACAGATCGGGGAAAATATAACTATACAGCACGGGAACTAGAGCTACATAGCAGGGGAACTGCAGCTTTACAGCAGGGGAACTACATACATACAGTAGGGGAACAACATCCATACAGCACGGGAACTACAGCTATACAGCAGGGGAACTACATTTGCACAGCAAAGGAGACAGCTGTAAAGCAGAGAAACTCCAGCGATACAACAGGGAACTAGAACTATACAGCAGTGAAACTCTAGCTATATGGCAGGAAAAACAACAGCTGTAAAGCAGAGAAACTCCAGCTATACAACAGGGAACTAGAACTATACAGCAGTGAAACTCTAGCTATATGGCAGGAAAAACAACAGCTATAAAGCAGAGGAATTACAGCCATACAGCATAGGAACAACAGCTATACAGCATAGAACAATGCCTATATAGCAGGAGCACTACAGCTATACAGCAGGAGAATTACAACTATAAAGCATAGAACTACAGCTATACAGCAGGGGAACTACAACTATACAGTATATAACTACAACTATACAGCATAGAACTACAACTATACAGCATAGAACTACAAATATAAAGCATAGAACTACAACTATACAGCATAGAACGACAACTATACAGCATAGAACGACAACTATACAGCATAGAACGACAACTATACAGCATAGAACTACAACTATACAGCATAGAACTAAAGTTATACAGCATAGAACTACAGCTATACATCAGAGAACCACAGCTATTCATAAGAGAACTACTACTATCCAGCATAGAACTAAAGCTATACAGCATAGAACTACAACTATACAGCATCGAACTAAAGCTATACAGCATAGAACTACAGCTATACATCAGAGAACTACAGCTATTCAGCAGGAAAACTCCAGCTATACTTAAGAGAAACGCGTTATCAGACTCTTGTCTCTGAGCAATCGAACACATGTCCGCTAAGCCAACAGGCTAGTGGTCTACCACTGCTTTGAAGGAATCAGAAGCCGAGTTGTGAACGCCCATGTTGCATACGGCAGAAACAAGATCAATAACCCCGTGAAACAGGCCGGGTAAGCCTTCGGATAATCCTCTTTCATTTCGATTCAGATCTCTTAACGCCTTGAGTTTTTCACGCGTTTATCCCTTTGGAATTTGAGGATGTATTTATACAGTAATGTCTGTTATTTCCTGTTTCCCCAGGCCACAAGGCCTTGGCCCATGACAGCATAATGTACCAGGTCAAAAGATTTGTATCTGCATTACCCAAAACTGGGGTCTTCATACCCAGAGCTACTATTAAGCAATGTTGTACTTCTCGTCCTTTTTAGGATGAAATTTGTCGTTATTTGAAGCCCTACTCTGGCTTTTGCCAGGGGCCGCAATATAGCCTGACCATAAATATGGCCTAAGGGTTGAACGCGGTTTCTGGGACCTCTCCACGGTGATCCTCACCCACATGGCACATTGTGTCATCGGGTGTTTATCGCTTGTGTGATGTCCTGGTGGGGTAGAACTAAAGTCGTCCCCTTGTGGGATGCAATTTTTCGTTACTCTGAAACCCCTTCCTGGTTGTTTCCGGGAGCCCTAAATATAATCTAACTGTTAAACGGGGTTTCTTGGACCTCTCCACAGGTGATCCTCATCCTCATGGTGGTACTTTGTGTCACAGGGTGTTTATCCCTCTGTGTTATGCCGTAGTGGGCCACACGTTTTAGCTTAATGCATTGACACCTAAAAGAAAAATTAGTTAAAGCAATCACACAGGTAAATCTTCTTTTCTTATCGTTCTCTGGCAGTAAAGTTTGGTCCACTGGAGTTTACTCTTGTTTCAGAACTTGAGTTTTGCGTGTACATCCGTTTTACAGATCTTACTTATTTGTATGTAATCTTTTGGTTCCTCGACCAGCTCGTAGGCAGATGCACACTGACATCAAAGGAAACGCCGGTGAATAAACACAGAAATTACACTTTTTTTCAGCTAAAGCCATTGTAAAATAGAAATCGACACAAAGAAAACATAGGAAGAAATAGAAAAAGGGCGGGGAGAGGTGGTGTGGATAGGGTGTGCTCAACTCCCTTATAATTTTCTAGGGGTGTGAGTTGGGTTCAAGGCCCAAGCCTTGTTTGAATAGGTAAAATAATAATACTATTAATAATAATGCAAATTAAATGCATTTGAAAACAAATCATTATCAAGAGTCTTGCCGATTGGCGTGGGCGATCATGCCTCTCCACAATCTGCAATCTGTAACTGCGTGCAGAAGTTCAGAAATAGAAAAAGGGCGGGGAGAGGTGGTGTGGATAGGGTGTGCCCCCTTATAATTTTCTAGGGGTGTGAGTTGGGTTCAAGGCCCAAGCCTTGTTTGAATAGGTAAAATAATAATACTATTAATAATAATGCAAATTAAATGCATTTGAAAACAAATCATTATCAAGAGTCTTGCCGATTGGCGTGGGCGATCATGCCTCTCCACAATCTGCAATCTGTAACTGCGTGCAGAAGTTCGGGGGGAGATGTAATATTCGTTGATAAGCTCTGTCCAGAGCACTATTAAGACTGATGTTCATTTCTGTAAGGCTGTTCTTAATGCCATCACTCCATTTTCCCGAGGTCTTCCGCTCGCTCTATACCCGTTTTATGGCAAACTAGTTAGTTGCGTATCCTTTACAGGACGTTGCAGAATCAACCCCAACAGCCCCTGGCTGTTGTGTGGTTTTTCTAGGCAAATTTACTTCCAGAAGTTTGCCATTGCTTTCTGGAACATCAAGATACAACTCGTTAAATGATTCGGACATATGTCTATTGATGCATGAAAAAGCCGCTATCACATAGACACGACAGAAGCTTCTGGAGATCGACCAGACAAGCATAGATTTTTTTCCTTTCTTTTTAGTATCCAGAAGCCATGAGTTGTTAACCCTTAGGCTCGGTATTATGGATATCGCAACCTTTCGGTCTTGATTCCATTGTAAATACCGTAAATCTGGGAGAAAATGTGGCTTTTTTGCCTACCCCCGGGCGTGAACCCGGACCACAAGGGGTTGGTCACCCGGTCACCGCGCAATCCGGTTTAGCCACCTGCGCTAGCAAGCCGGGCGACAAGCATAGATGGAGTATCCGAGGTGCGGAATACCAGCACCCACGTAGGACAAACCTAGGCTTGCACGAGATGCCTCTTTTAAACCTAACGCTGATAGGCGGAGGTGAATCTAAAAGAAGAAGAATACACAACACACTGAGGTTAAGTAAGGATTATTACAAAAACAGACATTTTGTGAGTCAGGGGGCACCATGATTACGTAGAAATAAACGTCGACAACTGTCTTGTCCCCACGTGCACCACAACACTATTAGCTGGGT